TGACAAATTTGGACGAATAAAAGTATTAAAGATTTCTTTTGTAATCTCTATATAAAAATAAATACAGAGCTATGTAATGGAAAAATCATTCAATAAAAGGTCAAAACTATTGAGTAATCATAATTACAATGTAAACTTTTACTTTTAAATATATAAAAATAAATACAAAACGTACTTAGGCCTTCGGCTCCAGTGGTAATAAAGCCACGTTAAAGTGCATTCTTCCTCTTCGGGTAACGATTCGAATTCGATCCTTGTAAACATATTTAAAAAAAAAATACAAAACTACATAATAGAAAGATTATTCAATAAAAAGTCAAAACTACTAAACAATTATTATTATAATGTAGACTTTTACTTTTTGAATAGAAAGACTAGAGAAACCTACCAATCCAACTTCACATTCAGTGTATCCAACAAACAAAACCCAATGAAATAGTGTTGATGAAGATCCAAAAAAAACCCCTTAAAAAAAGGGGGGAGAGGATGAATATAGATAAAAATCTATTTTTAACCTTTTAACTTAATAAATTTATTGGTTTTAACCCCTTTAACTTATACTATAACGCTTTTAGCTCCTCATCTACACAAATTGAAGAAAATAATCCTTATTTAATATGAGCTTATAATATTCGTCGATTGACTGTTAATATTTCATAACAGTCAGCTGACAGACTATTAACAGTGATAAAGACAAAACTAACAGAATATTAGCAATCAATTGACGAACGTTATAAACTGACATTAAGTAAAGATTTCTTCTGTAATCTCTATATAAAAATAAATACAGAGCTATGTAATGAAAAAATCATTCAATAAAAGGTCAAAACTATTAAGTAATCATAATTACAATGTAAACTTTTACTTTTAAATGTATAAAAATAAATACAAAACGCACTTGGGCTTTTAGGTCCAGTGGCAATAAAGTCACGTTAAAGTGCATTCCCCCTCTTCAGGCAACTGTTCGAATTTGAACCTTGTAAACATGTTTGAAAAAAAAAAAAATACAAAACTACATAATAGAGAGATTATTCAATAAAAGGTCAAAACTACTAAATAATCATTATTATAATGTAGACTTTTACTTTTTGAATAGAAAGACTAGAGAAACCTACCAATCCAACTTCACATTCAGTCTATCCAACAAACAAAACCCAATGAAATAGTGTTGACGAAGATCCAAAAAAAACCCTTAGAAAAAGAGGGGAGAGGATGAATATAGATAAAAATCTATTTTTAACTCTTTAACTTAATAAATTTATTGATTTTAATCCCTTAACTTATACTATGACACTTTTGGCCTCTCACCTATACAAATTGAAGAAAATAATCATTATTTAACATGAGCTTATAATATTTGTCGATTGACTGTTAATATTTCATTAACAATCAGCTGACAGACTATTAACAGTGATAAGAATAGAACTAACAGAATATTAACAGTCAGTTGACGAACGTTATAAATTGATATTAAGTAAAAGCTATTTTCTTCAATTCGTAAAGGTGAGGGGATAAAATTGTCATAATATAAGATGAAGGGTTAAAAATGTCATAATATAAGATGATGGGTTCAAACTTATAAATTTATTAAGATTAAGGGCTAAAAGTAGATTTTTGCCATGAATATATGTGTGAGAGAGAGAGAGAGAAGAGTAAAAGAAAAAAAATTGAAAGTTAGGGGAATTATTCGGAGAATCCCAAAGAACCCAAATTAAAAGGGGTGCGAAGAAGACAACCAAAGTTTGAGTAAATTCCAAAAGCTCGTTCTGTAAATCATGCGTCATGCAACGCATCACACGGCATGCTTGAGTCTCTTGAAGAGTTGGCATGTTCTTCAATTTTGAAGGCGTTGAATAATTAAACCAAATCCCAAAGAATCCAAACTCGTCTCTTTCTACTTGGAATTTTCAATTCCTTCTAAAAATTATTGAAGGACGTGAACGCTTTGTGGTTTGCCTTTCACACCCTATTTATTGTGGCCGTAATATAATAAAACATCATGCGCCTACTTGAAATTGATTTCATTCATGGGACATTTTGTTCCTACTAACCAATCCTCCCTTCAGCTGAAAAATAAAGTAAATTTTTAGATTTCAAATTTAAGTTCTGAAATTAATATTGAATGTAAAAAAATATATCTTTAAAATTGTTAAAAAAATTAAATTTAAAGTATATAAAAATTAATTAAAGACACTCTCATTATAAATATCATAAACAAATAAACAAAGGGTCAAATGCCCCTATGTCTTTTGTTGCTTGTCTCAAAGTGAGCACATCAATCCTATATAAAGGCTAAAGCTCATGTCATAGCAGTTTAATTAAAAAATACCATATATCCATCAAACCCCCCACAAAAAACAATGGCATCGTCATTTTCCCCTCTAAAATTCCTTTTTCTCTTTCTCTTTCTCTTTCTTCTTTCTTGTCCATTTTCAAATGCAAGAAATAAGCACAAAGAAAACAGCCATGATGTTTCCTCTTCAACTGGTAGTATCTTGGCCAAAAAGCGAGCAGAAAAGCTGATAAAATCTTTCAACTTGTCCCCTAAAGGCCCTGTTAGCACCCGTCATGCAGACACATCTATATCAGAATCAGAGGAGGCTCCAGGGATTGTTGAGAAACAATTCAAATTCCATTCTCTCCTTGAAACTGGACCTTCTATTCAGAATTTGGGTCACCATGCTGGATACTATAAACTGTCGCATTCTAAAGCTGCAAGGTTTCTTTACTATTTTTGTGGATTCATTCTTTGTTTAAAGTTAAAAAGCTGACCCTGGATTCATATTTTTCTTATCGA